TAGTGCGAAAATGGGCGAAATCGGACTACAACCACGCTTACTTCCCATGTAACACCATTTTCAATTCCATCTGATTCTTTCACATTCCACTATGCAAATCAAGTAAAAATGATTATATCGGGGTAAAACTTTGCGTGAATAATGCAATTAAAGTATGCCACCTTGCGGCCAAAAATTGTCTAAATCGAACCAAAACTGTTCAAACCCCTAAGTACTAAATATGTGGACCCCAGTGCCTATAGTTGACCTTCTACCGAAAATATCAGTCAATCCACAAAGAAATCTCAAACGAGTATACCATTTGACCTTGCGAGAGTATAAAATGTTCGGTTACATCCGAACTTAGCCCTTCCTTACTTGTTTTCAGATAATTTTATGCCATTTATGTTTTTGACCCAATGGCCACCACAGCTCCGTTTGCATATATCCACTCGTTTACACGAATTTTTGATGACCCTGTGCAGCATTTTGGCTATAGTGCGCTGAATGTTGTCTTCAAGCTCCTCGAGCGTTGCTGGTGTATTGGTAAAACTTTGATTTCACATACCGCGAGAGAAAATAATCTGGAGACGTTAAATCGCATGATCTTGGCTGCCATTTGGCTTGGCTGTTTCTCGACATTAACGAGTCGCCAAATTTGCATTGGCGACAATTTCGTTTGTTGACAAAGCCATTGCGCCAAAAATGGACCCAATCTGAGAAGACGATTTTTCGTTGAATATAGTCGCTGGGAAATCGTAGGAGAACGTGAATTTGCATAATAACCGTTGTGCCAAAGTGAAACGTGTTACGATGAAATGGCAAACCTTACAGTACACACTGACAAAATTTGGCACAAATTTGTGAACTAACATGGCCACCACGTAGATGATTACCAAAAAATACATATAAATAATTGACATACTATAAAAGAGCAGCAGTTGCCGCAAGATGAAAGAGAAGCTACCGAATAGCCTAGAAAAGCGAATAAATTGAGCTTAGAGTAAGTAATGAAGTAGAAAAAGGCATTTAGTACGAATATTTTCCAGAATCTAACTGCCCTTTTTAGACAAATCATCAAAAATTTGTATCATTTCTAATAGTTTCTATCTATCTATAATTCTCTACTCGAAGACTTCCGCTTGTATTTTCACCTTTACTTCACACCTTCTATATTTTTCTTAGAACCACATATTAATGTAACCTTCGTCACGAAAGTATGTTTGCTAAATCGAATAACACACCTGCTCGAATAAAATACTTCACATTTGGTTACAAAGGTGAGTGTGAATATCGTGAAATGGTACACACACATATATGTGCGTGTCAGTCCATTTATGTGCATATTCCTGATTCATATTATTAAAAGCCACACTTGGATAAATTGGTTTTAAGATTAAATCTTCCTGCAATCGTCAAAGCTTTTAGTTGCTCGTGTTATACAAAAGCCAAAAGGGAATAAAAAGATCGAAAAAACGAACAGAACTTGTGTACTGCAAAGTGTGGTGGGGTAAAAAGTAAGCGTTTACTTTCAATTTAGTCAGGTGGCAAACTATTGGATGCACGTTTTCCAAATGGATAGTGAGACGAACGGTTTTGGGGGACAATTTCAACATAATGGTAAACGAAAGGGTAACTTAACTACAACTTATTGATTCCAATAAAATATTCTGTATCGAATCAACCGAATTTAAATCACAGACAACACGAAAGTAAATAAAAAATTCCGCAAAGGAACAGGAAGATCATCAGGAAGAGCAAGAAAGTTTTAGGCCAACTGGTTGCGTGCAGTGAAGCGTGGTGGCTAAATAAAGGACACCCAAGGTGTTGAAAGCAACAGCAACTATTAATCTTGATTTCTTGCCATATCGGCACCTAAATATGTATTTATGTATATATAGAGTGATTGGCTAACTTTTTTGCTTAACAGCGTAATAATGGCTTTGAAGTGGTCCCAACACCTAAGGCAGTTGTAATTGAAATTAACTCTGCGTGCGAGTTGGGTCACAAATTCTTCTGCTTGACTAATTCTGAAGTTGTTCAGAAAAATTGTATTTTAAAAAAATTAATAAGAAAATTATTAGTAGTTAGAAAATTATTAGAGATATATAAATATATTCGTCTCACTTGCAGCTCTTCTTTCCAGTAAGGCTCTGAAATTGTCTATCTAAATGAAATTCCAAACTTTGAGTGCAAATTAATTACCTTATTTCAAACACAACATTGTTAATTAACCTTAAATTATTAATTTGCCTTATAAGCTACCGCAACAGCAATTATTCTTCCATTGTGAGTAATAATTAATCCTGATTGATTACTGATTGATATTAAATACATATTTTTACGTATACATTTATATATGTACATATGAAAAACCAGAGTTAGTTCGCTTTTTGCCTCTCATCATTGTGAGTGTACATACATAGATACGCGTACTTCAAAAAAGTTGTAATTGCACGAATTAATTATAGCTAATATATTTGGCTCATTATCCCTACACTAAAGGACAAATTAATAATTTTTCATTTTAATTTGCAAACCAAATCTCCGGCTTTTTGCCATGCACAGCAAAAGCTGTGAAATAAAATAAATCACATAAAATGCAAAACTAAACGGACACATAAATAAAGAGGTTAAACCAAATTATATCACAGCTTAAAAGCAAAAATGGAAAATATTTCACTTGGGCGAGCGTTATTTATTTCGTAATTTCCTCGAACAAGCAGTAATGATGTGATGGCGGAGGAAATTTTGTATACAAAAAACCTGATCACTCCAAATTTTAGAACACTGCACGATTTGGCACTCCGTCGTCACGTTTTCGTGACACAAGCCTGAAAATGTAATTGATTAAAAAAAAGTTATTACGGTTTGTTTTTGTGGCACGATTCGGGAGACACGCTGTGTCTTATTTTGATTACAACCCTAGACTAAGTCGTTGCTATCAGGACTCCAATATCCGCCATTAATGAACTTTCAAGTGTCAGAATGATTGATCAGATCAATAGAACGATCCTTTTCTGGTCAGCTAAAAAATTTTATTCATACACAACGAAGACACAATAATTTGCAAATAATGTGTGATGTTCATCGGTGTCGGATCGATGTTCATTGGTTTGCTTCAAATTAAAGACATCAAATGGAGAATAACTCATCCAAGCAGAAACGGTTGCTCTGTCAGGAATACCGCAAGAGTCTGTATTCTTGGTTGCACTCATTCTATAGTGATAGCATTTGGTCCTAAAAAATACTTTTTCTAAAGTGCCGATTGGTATCCAAAAATATCAATTGCGAATTATACATTCATGACAGTTGATTAGTCGTGGATTCATGCGCATAAACTCGAATATGTTTCATTGTAAGCGATTAAAAATTATACAAGTTTACCAATATGCAAGTCAAATGGGGACAACTAAATGTTATTGCCCGTAAACTGCCACAAAAGCGCGAACACACACATATTGAAATATATTATATTATACTTGTGCTTTGGATAGCTAACTGTAGTTGTTTGCATTGTTGTTGCTCAACTAACTCAGAACTGCAAATAAATTTATTTTGCTTTCATAGCAAATTGACTAATAGATTTGAATTTTTTTCCAGTAGAAGCTACTTGCCATAAACTGACCTTTTGTTGCACATACATGCATACATACTCTATTTCTCTTTTCGTGTTATTACAGTTATTATTAACCTCTCAATCTGTTGGTGTTGCCTTCCACTTCCGGCGGGCGGAACAAATTACTATTAAAGCGGCAAACTACAGATGGAGCCAATAAGAGAGAGAAGGCATCAAAAGAGGGAGAATAAAAAAGGAGTAACACATCGAAAGGCTGCAACTAAACTCAAGCGCTCTGAATGAAAAATGGGTAGGAGCTGTTGGTGCAAAATTGCACATGGCTTGCAAATACTGCTATGAAAAGCCTGTATTGTTGTTGTTGTCGGTTGTGGAATTGAATAGTAATGGAGTTGTAAACATTTGCTGCTGACAAGGCACATGCAAATAAATTTGCAGATATACAAACACATACATATATAACCAGCGCTTTAATGCAATGAAAAATTTATAGACGGATTAGTCTTTTTAAACCAACAAAACAATTCTTGAGGTTGTATTATACGATAAGCAAATTATATATGGGTCATTCAATCGAAAATTTAAATTCAAAAATAATGTACATTTTCATTAAACAAACAAAAAAACTAAATAAGAGTTTAAAAAAGTTTAAATTATTTGTTTGTAAAAAAAGTCGAAAAAATTGAACTTATATCTCATTGTTAGGCTGGAGCCAATTGTCAATAGTTATTTTTATAATGCAATACTGTTTAAAGGTACTTTTTCGAGCGTTGAAATTTTGAAAATACTTAAGTCGAATATTTTTCTTATTGAGTCGAAATAAAAAAGTTCAATATTTTTCATCCAATAACACAAAAAAGTATTTTGAACGAAAAAAAATTTTAAATGTAAATTTTCGATAGAATGACCCATATATAAAATCATAGTATTTTTATTTGGTATGTATGCATGTGTAGGTGCGTATCACAATCTGTGTTGTCTTGGTGACGAAGTTACGCTGTGCACTCTTTGCAACAATATTAATGTGGCTTTTTACTACTTAGATGGCTGTTATAAATTCCAAATGTTTACAATTCCAAGTATACATAGATATCTTTATACATATGTATGAAGATGCACGGATACACATATATGATTAAGTTAGCTTGTTGAAAAATTACGCTTACATAATATGGAAAAATAGCTTGGTTTGTTTCATTACATTACTACTTTTTCGCCACTCACTCACCCTCCTGCCACCTCACATAACAGAGAATTTATAGCATTTTGAGTAAATGAATAAAAATGCCTCGAAATGCTGAGTATTTTAGCAATTTTCGCAGCAATTCAAAACCTTGTTGCATATTTCAGCAACTCTCGTGCTTATATTGTTTTAGTTTCTTCGGAATGTGTATATTTATTACAGCTTTAATCTATACAAGTAGTAATTTCTATAAGCACTTACCAATTGAATGACCCAGAAATGCACTTTTGTATCCATTATTTTTATCTGCATAGTCGTAGCATCATGACTTGCTCTGTAAATATAAAGTAGGAAAATTACAATTATAAATAATTATTAGAAAAAAATATTATAAAAAATATTTTATAGAATCAACATCCGTATATTTATTACGGTATTTATTATTGTGTATACCATATTCAAAGGGCTTGTGTGCACTGATTCCATTTGTTTTTTTTTTGACATCAGGCCATATTATACACAAGATGGCATGCTTATAAAATAAAAAAGATATCTTACTATTTAACTGATTTATATGCTCTGAACTATACCCAGAGAACCAAAAGTATATAGGTATATATGAAAGCTGTGACGTGGTTATGTTGTGTTTTGTTCTTCTTCCTCTATGAAATATAGATTGTGTCACGCCCATTGAAACAATTTTTGAATTGATCTCTTTGCAGGCCTATTTAATTCTCTACTTTACAGACTTACTGATAAATAAAACTAAAAAAATGGCAACCTTTGAAAGTCACTTCACCTTAAAATCAACTCCATTATGTAGATTATATAATAATTAATAAAATAAATTTATGTCGTGCAAATGTGTTGCAAATAATTTGTGTTTGTCATCTCATGACGCGACAGCTTAAGCTCAGTTAAGCAGTGAATAGTTATAAGTAATCACAATTCTATATATTAACAACAGATTTACGTATGCACGATTCAATACACAAACACATAATGATATAAACGCATAAAATGACAAAGTCAATAAAACTTTAGTAAATGCATAGTAAGTACTGCTAACTATTCTAAGTAAGCATACCAAAGTATTTGTACTAACTAACATCTCTCTGAGCACTCCCTCTCATTTTCTTATGTCGTGCAAATACCTACAAGTGTCCATGTAAATAAACGTTAAAATAGAATCCGATTGAGTTGACTAATTGGCACATTGACAATTGGCATAGTGTCGAGTACTTAACACGTTTCACAAATGCCTTGAAGTGAAAACACGCAAATTTCCAAAAAATAACAATAAAGAAATAAAATTAAATAAAAGTATAATACAACTAAAAATGAGATGCAGAAGCATAAACCAAATGAAAAACGCTTGGACTGACATTAAAATTCATCTTTGTCTTAGATTTAGTAAGTAAGTAATTGCAACATTATGTCAGACTGTGCGTTTGTGGTGATTTGTGAACACATTGCTGTTTGTTATAGATATGGATAGAGGTATGCACCGTCGCTGTTTGTTATGTTTACAGCAGCTGTAGAGGTGATGGAAGAGGTGGCGGTGTTGCACGCAACGCAACTGACTTGCGGCAAGATGCGTGTACATCAACAAGGCACAACAGTTTCTAATGACCATAAAGCCCAGAGCCAGAAATGCGTAACACGCATAAACTAACTTATAATGGGATGCATACACATACAGACATGTTCTTCTATACCTATATGCATAATATAAAAGAAAACAGATATATGCATGTTACTATGAAGTTATATAATTGTAAGTACTATATAAGTACAGTGGTGCTATGAACGCAAAGCCACACTCCTATGTACACGCACTCTGAAGCACATATAGTTCTCATATATAATACTTCTGCGAACACTTAATGTCACTCATACGCACTGTCAGCAGGACAATTGAAAGTTTCAGCTTTGTGCGCATGAATGCTTTGGTAACGCATATATCTATGGGTTTATATGTGTAAATGTGTGGAAAGTGTTAGAGAAAAGTGAATAAAAGCAAGTGTAAGAAAACATGAAAAAGTAATAACCAATGTATATGCAAAAAGTAAACTCAATAGAGACAACAGCACAATATATACATATATTCAAGTGTTAACAATTTATGAAAGCTCTGCGTGTTCTTAACTTTCCGACAATCCCACCACAGGTCGGAACTTTACTAAACACATCCGAGAAATGTTCACACAATGTCGCTTGTAATACGAGACACCACTTGACTTTCAACTGACAACAAAAGTAAATTTAACAGAAAGCAAATCTGTTCACAGAAAACAAATTTTATAACGACGTAGAGCAGAAATATATATCCTTATAATTTAACTTAAATATTCTTACATTTTGTCAACTTAATACTCATTTCACACAAGAGAAAAAATTAAAAGTTTATTCTCAAGAGTTGAGACTGTCTCAAACCACAACCTGGTGGATTCTGAAAAAGGATTTGGGCTTGCATCCGTAGCTCAAGAGCTGAAGCCATTGTTCTCACTCAAAAACTGAAACCATTGGACCACCGTAAAAGTCGTGAATTTGCTGAGTTTGCCTTGAAACCACTTAAACGATAACGATTTTTTTAAGAAAATCATCCTCTCCGTTGAGGCTCACTTTCATCTGAGTGGTGCGGTAAATAAACAAAACTGTCGATTTGATGCAAAAAAAATCCACAAATTATTTATGAACAACCTTAACATTCACCTAAATTGTGAGTTGGTGTGGTTTTTGGTCTGGTGGAAACATCGATCCGTACTTCTTTCGAAAATAGCTGGTGACACCGTTACTCTCAATAGAGAGCGGTATAGATCGATGAAAACCAATTTCTTATGGCCGCAATTGGAACAAGTTGATCTTGGCAACATTTGGTTCCAACCAGACGGGGCTACATGCCACACAGCACGTGTCACAACCGAATCATTGCGTGACAAGTTTGGAGATTTGATAGTTTCAAGAAATTTTGACATTGAATGGCCAACGAAAAGTTGTGATTTAACACCATTAGACTACTTCTTGTGAGGTTATTTGAAGTCATTGGTTTTAAGTATAAAACCAGATTCACTAAAAGCTTTAGAAGTCAATATTGAACGTGCTATTCATGGCATACGACTTGATTTAGTGGAAAAAGTAATTTTAAGTAATATTAAGTTCATCGAATTCGTTCGTGCAAAAGAAATCGTGGAGGCCATTTGAATGATGTTATATTCAGAACTTAATTGTATCGTTTGTGCTTCACATTAAATAAAAAATATTTGAATTACCTTAAAAACTAGTGTGTTGATTTTTAAGCTATTGCATAGCTTCATATTGATTCAAGAAATTCCGTAACGAAAATAAATCTAACACGCTCATAAAGTTTGCGCAAAATGTTTGCATACTTGTAGGCGTATTTTCGCATATATCGCGAAAAAATTAATTGAAGACACAGAGCAGGGCAATTCAGATATAATAATAATTAATATAAAATTTTTTGAATGGCAAATAATGAAATTTTACAATAATTTAATCATAATATTAGTAATATTACTATTATTTGGGAAAATAGCTACCCCAACTTTTAGAACAGTAACTCGTTTGAATTGAACAAAACAATTGAAATTAGGTATTTCAATTGGATCATCAATGGTAATACAGTTCCACTTATCTTGGCTGGCGATTTCAACATCAAGTGCGCTGATAAAATATCAGAGCGGTTGACAACTTTTCTTTCTAAAAAAAATAATTTGAAAATGAATAATGATCCACAAGAATCCACAACAAAATATGGGACCACCATTGACGCGTTATTTTCCAGATATTTAGAGGATATCAAGTCTCAAGCTTATGTTTCTTATTTCAGTTACCATAAACCTATAGTTTCAATTATAAAATTTCCTGAATAACCTGCATTTATTGTAAAATAATAAAACTATTTTAAACAATATTAACTGCTCATTTATTCAATAAAAGAAAATAGTAATATCAAAGAAAAAACTTGAAATAATATCAAAGAAAAAAAAAATACTGCATGAAAAATAAATAAACAATTGTAATGGCATAAGTTGTTAAACAATGTAATAGCTTTACCGCCCGAGTGCCACAATTTTATTTTTTTTTATTTTTTTAAAAATCATATTAATCTAATTGGAAAACCCTGTAATGTATGTATACCTATATCATTATTTTGTGTGTATTCATATTTATACATAAATATGCATATTTGCTTGCATATATCTCTTTTATATAATTGAAAGTCACTTCTGACTTCGTGTTGGCAACGAGTCACTTGGGTTTGTTATTGTTGCTGTTAATGTTGATTTTGTTGTTGTTGGGCATATTGGATATATGAAAAGTAGAAAGTGTTAAACATGAATAAAAAGTTTACACGATCCTTTATACTTTTACACACATACTTTGCAGTGTGAGGATAACGTCAGTTAAACGTTTCCGGTGTCATTTCTGCTCGTAAATGAAAAGTTAAGGAAAGCAAAATCAACTCCCTCCTCTTTTTAAACTTTCAGATATAGCAGTACAGTACTCCATTAAACGCAATATTACACATTAACAAATGAAAACAGTACTACAAAAGGCAGCAGCTAATAAAATATATACTTGCATGTAAGTACTTTTGTATGATTATACTCATCGTAAGCTGTAAAAGAGGTGAATGGCTTGGCAGATTGTTTGCGAAATTGTTTTAATTAAATATTAAAAATGAAAAGCAACATGGAAAAGCAATTTGCTAATGCACTTTTTATTAAATTTGTGTTTGCAACAGATTTATTTGTTTTTGTATTGTACAGTTATAAGACGACATAGAAGAAGATATTATAAATTTTATGCTCTGAAAACACTTATTTTCAAAACAGCAGTAAACATTGAATTATATTGAAGACTCTAGTTTAATGCTTACGATACGCAAGACCCAAATACAGTGTTTCACAATTTTTCAAGCAAATTTAGAATGATTAATTTTTTTAACAAAATACCAATACTACTTGTGAGAGGCCTCTGAAGAAAATAAAAACTGAACCAAGAAATTACATTATTCAACATTCCATTACATTACGTAGATTTACAATAGATAAGTCAACCATCAGCTAGAAAGCCGAAACAAAATTTAGCAGAAATAGTACTTCTATGGCATTTCTCATCTAAAAATCGAAATCGGTTCATAACTTTTCTATATACATTTATAATATACAATCACATCAAATTTGACCCAGATAGACAAAAAAAACCAACAACGTATTTTACTACCAGTCTTTATTATCGCCTTCAAAATAAGCTCCTAAGCCAATATGATTATAAGAGGTGGATAAACGACTCGCCTGAGGCAAGCTT